TGTATAGCCAGCCCCAAATACATCCGCTCTGTCATCGCAAAGAGGAGGAGGGGCTCCTGGTGCCTGTCACCTACCTCATAGAAGTTACCAGTCCTTCCCAGTGCCCTCAGCCTGCCTCCTCCTGTGAGTCACCCTTGCTGACTTCAGGCAGTAGCGAAGCAGCCTGTAGCATGTGAATGGAAACAAACCAACCCCTTGAAGCTCTGCTGGGGACCTGGGCCCCCTGGACAGCCCATCTGGAGGGGCAGCAGAGGAACCTATGGACCCTACTGCCCTGGAATGACAATGGAACGTGATTCTGGGCCACTAAGTGCATGGCTGCTGGCCCCCTGACCGTGCTGGACTCAGTACAGCAGGAGAAAGAGGGAAAAGGGGTGTGTCTCCCTCTCTACCTAGAGGGCCACCCCGAAGAGGGGATGTCTGTGGAGAACCAGAACTGGGACAGAAATGACTTTCCTGGCTCAGAAACCCTGCTGCCTCCTGGGGAGGCGGCTTGGACTTGTCGACCTGCCTTTTGGGCAGCAATGAATCAAGAGCAGAAGCTGTCAGACTAGATGGGTGGGGACGAGCTTGGCAGGTCACATGCTCCCACACTCACCACCTTGAACCTGACAATATAACAGCAACCTGGCAGTGACTAGGGGGCTGGAAGGGGGGTGGGGAAACTATGATCTCGGGCACTGGATGCACAGCGCTTCTTTGCTTCCCCATGCTGCTAGCTAGCAGTTGGGGGGCCCAGGCCAGAGAAATGGGCGTGGGTAAAGCTGAAGACTCTTTGCCACGCAGGGTGACAAGGTGTCCGGTTTTGGACTGGAACAACTGGTCAAAAAGGGATCCTGGTGGCTCCAGTCAGCACCGCTGACCGGGCCGTTGACTGTGTGGTTGGCAGCGCCACCACGCCGCGTAGCTCCCAGATCAGGAAGCAGCCGGCATGTCCGGCTCCTAGCCTTAGGGGTGGCCAGTGGGGTCCACATGCTGCCCCGCCCCTCACCTCCCATTGGCTGGGTCAGAGCAGGGGAGGAGCTAGCATGAGTGTGACTCATGAGTGCGCAGCAGGCGGCTGTTGAGGGGTCGTGTGGTGCGTCTCTCCCGCTGCTGCCCGGCTTCTTCTCCTCACGCTCCTCGTGTGGCTGGGCTCAAACTGCGTCCCGTGCCCTGCGGCCAACCACGGTCTGTCTGTCGCCCCATCGCCGGCACCAGGAGTTCGAGGTGTGTGTATCCCCGTCTCTGAGAGCTGTGAATGGGGCTGCACCCCCACCCCCCCTCACTGCATCCCTCCCTGTCCCAATCCCACTACACCCTCTTCCCCCTCACTGCGTCCCTCCCCATCCCAACCCCCCCACACTCCCATCACTCCAACCCTCCCTGTCCCAACCCCCCTGCAGCCGCATCTCCCATCACTGCATCCCTCCCAGTCCCAACCCCACTGCACCCTCATCCCCCTCACTGCATCCCTCCCCATCCCAACCCCCCCAAACCCCCATCACTCCAACCCTCCCTGTCCCAACCCCCCTGCACCCCCATCTCCCATCACTGCAAATAAAACCTGAACTCAGAGGTGAAAGTAAGCTGGTACGGTATGGTACAGCGGTATGGACTGGACTTGCTTCTCCGGTGGTGATTTAAAGGGCCCGGGGCTTCCCGCAGCGGGCGGCGGCCAGGGGCACTTTA